GGATGCACATCATGATTGATGTTTTTTTTGTTGCATCACACGGTCCAAGGAGATTATTTGGGCGTCTGGTGTTTTTGGTTGACTGGGCGAAGACATGATTGTATAGAGAACGGCCGCATGCTTCAACGGAACCACCTTTTTATTCTCTCGTCTATTTTATTATGGGCTACACGAGGTCGGGAGGGCTTTTTCTTCTTGGTATTCGCGATCCCGGCTTTGATCAGCATACCGGTGTCCGGCTCATATGTGAAGAGCACCAACCTGGATGGTGCCCGCCTGCTACAACGACTGGAATGTTTCTCGCGGGCCCAGGAACAGCATGCCGTGTACAGGGGCAACTGGCTACTTTTATAAGACGATTGTCTTATCACGATCACGATCCGAACTCTTTGGATATGAGAACCGGGATTGCAGAAGCCTTGTCACATGTTGGACATGCAAACGACACCAGCAGGAGTTTGCATATGGTTGACCACGAGCTTGCTTGTTTCTCGGCACAGGGGATGCTGGCACACGTCGGAATCCAGACAAGCTTGGCAGACCGTCCGCTTCATGCCGGCCATGTAAATTCTGCATAACTTTTCCTCGCTCGAGAAGCATGCGTTGTTGGCGGACCTGGCGAACTGTAGCTTTTTTTTCTTTTTCATTTTTCTTTTTGTTAGGTAGTTGGATGGAAGGGACACGACGCAAGAGCTGCGAAGAGACGGGGTGGGAGGCCCTTGTATCACTCCTCCCAGGACAAAGGCAAGACATGAATCTGATGTATTTTAGTCTGGACATTTAAAACCAAAAAGATACCTAATTTGATACCTGTGAGTTTCTGGTGTGAATGACGTTGTCTCATCCCATTGCATTGGCACATAGGGGAATGACATGGATGCTTACATAATACCTCCAGCTGGTCTTTTGTGTGAAGTCAATTGGTCGGTGGGAGCAGCCGCAATGGAGTGGAGCACAGCAGCAGAGCAACAGGCAGTGCCAGTGCCTCTTGCCCCGCCATTGGAGCCTCGACTTAGGGACCGGCTCAGGCATGACCTCATGTGCCAGTCCCACATCACAGAGCAGTGCTTCGCTCCTCCAACATCAGCTTGGTTACTACCTCATTCACAGGGCTCGAGCCCGTCGCTACGATGGCCGCAAGGTGAGTTGCATCCACAAGCAGGGGCTCCATTGATGGCTACACGCGATTATGACCTCCAGCTTTTCCCTCGTTCTTTCTGGAGACGGAGGGTGGGGGGAGGCCTTGTTTTGTTTAGAAAATGCTGTTTGTTTGTTTGCATCGCTGACCGGACCCAACGCTGCCAGCAACATCCTGTCCTTGCCGTTCCGACGGTCGGCACACCTATCTCTTGCCTCGACCATTCGGCAGTACATCAATACCAAATATGACCAGCACCCCGACATGTTCAAGAGCGATCTCGAGGTGATAAATGAGCTGCGGCAGGAGGCTATCAACGTGCGTGACCCGCACTCGAGCGGCATCGTCAAGCTGTTAAAGTATGCTGCGCAACTGGTGTGGATTGGGGGCAAGTTCCCCATTGATGTACGTCCTGGCTTTCCTTGCTTTGCTTGAATCTGCTTTGGCGCACCGCCTGCTTGCCAATGACGAAAACAACAATAGGAGACGGATGGGCTGACTGACCTGGATATCGCTAGATTGGCGCCGAGTTCTCTTGGTACCCTGCGCTCGGGTACAACACCGAAAGACCCATTGTCCGCAATAACCTCAAGTTCGAGCTGATGAACATCCTCTTCAACCTCGCCGCCCTCTACTCCCAGCTCGCCCTCAACACCCCGCGCGGAAACACCGATGGCCTCAAGACGGCCGCCAACTACTTCTCCCTGGCCGCCGGCGTGCTCACCCACATGAAGACCACCGTGCTCCCGGAGCTGCGCATGTCGGACCCGCCCGAAGACATGGACGAGCACACCCTCGAGTCGTTGATACAGCTGATGCTGGCCCAGAGCCAGGAGTGCTTCTGGCAAAAGGCCGTTATGGACGGGTACAAGGATGCCTCGATTGCGAAGCTGGCCACGCGGGTGTCGGACCTGTACAACACGGCGTGCGAGACGGCCGTCAAGAGCCAGGCAATCAGCAACGCTTGGATCCACCATATGAGTGCCAAGCACCACCACTTTGCCGCTGCGGCGCAATATCGCGCGGCCTGCGACTGCCTTGAGAGGGGCAAGTTTGGAGAGGAGATTGCGAGACTGATGGATGCAGTCGCGTGTGTGGCCAATGGCTTGAAAGAGGCCAAAAGTGGGCAGCTGAGCAAGATTGTCGTGGATGATCTGCATAGTCTCAAGAGGAAGGCCGAGGATGATCTGAAGAGGGCGGAGAAGGATAACGATATGATCTATCTGAGTATGTCCCCCCTGCTATCTTTTCCCATTGGAATGACTATACGCGGATTAACTGACACTACACCAGACGCCGTTCCACCCAAATCAGAGTTGAAGATCCTGGAGCGCGCCAATATGGCTGTTGCGCGGGTCCCCCCTCAGCTAGCCAACCCCTACCAGTATCTGGGCGACCAGGCAGAGTATGGTCCGGCGCTGTTTGCGCGACTTGTGCCTTTTGCTGTGCATCTTGCCATCTCCATTTACGAAGAGCGACGTGACAGGATGGTGAACCAGAGCATTATCCAGAAGCTCGAGTCACTCACTGAAGAGATTCACAACCTGCTAGCCTCACTTGGCCTCCCTGGCTCCCTGCAGGCCATGGAAAAACCCATTGGGCTACCGCACTCTCTGGTCCAGCATGCCGAGGATATTCGGCAAGCCGACGCTGTCCAGCGGGTACACAGGAGCTTTGCCGACATCGATAAGCTCCGGTCGTCGGATATGGCCATCTTTGACGAGGGGAAGGAATCTCTGCTGGCAGAGGAGGAAGAGGACCAGAGGCTGCAACGGAAGTACGGCACGGATAGATGGGCGCGGCCAGACTCAGTCAACGACCCTAAGGGGGCTGAGCTCAGAACTGTGGCCGCGGAGATTGAGGGCTACATCGCCAGCAGCACGAGCAGCGACCAGATCGTGAGGGAAAAGTTTGCGGCCATCGAGAGGGTGCTGAATGTTCTTGCGGGGCCGGACAGGGTTCTTATGGAGTTTGTACCGGCATCGCGAAGAACAGACTCATCGGAAGCGGTGAGATCGGCGGTTGGCAAGCTGAGGAGCGCGTACAGCGATGTGCTGAGGCTGGAGAGCCGCAGGAGGAAGAAGGTGGAGACGCTGAGGGAGAACGTCAAGCGCGACGACATCAAGCCCGATATCCTCAAGGAGTGTGCACGGCTGGAGAGGACGTACCCCACGGCTACGATTGTGCCTGCCCATTTTGAGGATTTCTTCGACAACCGCCTTGACAAGCTGTACGAGCCAGAGGTGGAGGGACTTGCCAAGGAAGATGAGGAGCAGGAGAAGGTGCTGGGCGTGATTGAGCGGGCGAACAGGGAGTTTGAGTCACAGAAGAGACTGCACAGTGATCGTGGCACCAAAGAGCGCGAAGAGGCGCTCCAGAAGCTGGACAATGCATACTTCAAGTACAAGGAGGTGGTCAACAATCTGGAGGTGGCACGCAAGTTCTACAACGACTTGAACAAGATTGTCAGCCAGGGCTTCCGAGATAGAGTGAAGAACTGGGTGGCAGAGAGACATTTGGAGGCCAGGCAACTGGAAGAGTGAGTCGGAATCCCGGGCATCTCCCGTGGGCCGCTGCTAATAAGTTTTTTGTCACAGGGAAATCAATATGCCGTCACTTGGTAACTTGTCCATTCACCAGCAAGCTCAGCAACGCCAGCAGCAAGCGGACGACTCGTATTATGCCAGTCAACCGGTAGCAACACCTGCACCCCGGCAAACGGCTCCTCGTCAGAGCAACCCTCCTCCAGAGCTAAGTATACAATCATGGGCTGGTGCGCCTGCGGTAGATGGAAACTTCCAGCAGCCGCAGCCGATGGCACCACCAGGCCAACCTGTATGGAACCCAAATGCCGGCATCAAGTTTGGGGAGGGAGCAAGGGGAGGAGGGATCCCGCAACAGCAACAGCATTTCCAACAGGCCCCGCAACCGCACCAGCAGCAGCAGCAGCAACAGAAGACATGGAACCCGGACTCTGGGATTCGGTTCGGTTAGAGACGGGAGGAAGCCTTCCAAGGCATGACGGGAGATGTTTCAAAGTATAAAGGCATGACAGCATGGATATCTATAGAGCATATTACGTTATAGTGAATGGTTACTTCTTGGAGTTGGAGAAAAAACGATGAAGAGAGAGGGCATTTACATGATAGCACAGTGGAGCGCGTGGGAGATGCAGCAATTCAGATACTCGGGGGGCACTTGTCGTTCTTCAAGCCGTGGTGGCCAACCAAACAGCTGCCGCATGATTTTCCTGATACCAGCCATGGAACTTTATAGCATTGTTCCGTAGTTTTAGTTGAGAACTTGAGTGCTGGGAGCATTGACTATTCTGGATGCAGGGATCCCTGGCTATGAGGATCGTCATAGGGTTTCGTCGTATTAATAGCTCTGCTGCCTTCCCCATGCTCCTCCTTTCCTGTACATGGGGTATTTGGGAAATTGTCCGCACGTCAAGATGCGAAAGACGGAAAGAGATAACTCGAATTCACGGTTGACGATGCAGAGTCTGATTAATCGGTCGGGGTGATGCATCAGGGATCTTCATTTAGGACACGAGCAAGCAGCCAATGTGAAGTGAAGGCTGCAATGTCTTTGAAACGGATCTTTGGTGCGCCAAGACACCAATCAGCTATTTCGGGGGTCGGCTTTGACCTCGATGAGGATGGATTGGCAGAGACCCGTTTTGTTTTTGTCGGGCGATTGTTGAATTTTCAAATAATATCCCCAGATGCTGCTCGTCCAGGGTTGAGTCACTCACTTCTCTTCACCTTGCTTGATTTATTTCACTTCATTTTACTTCACTTCACCTCATTCGCTCGCTCACTCACTCACTCACTCACTCGCTCACCACTCACTCACCACGATGCAGTTCTCCATCCTCTCCGCCGGCCTCGTCCTCCTGGCCCCTCTGGCCTCGGCCGCCTCCGACCTAGGGCCCACGCAGGCCGCAAAGGAGTCGCCCAAGCTCGGGGTCCCGACCTCGCAGGGCTGCTTCAAGTCCTCCAAGGGCCTCAAGGACGCCAACATCAAGGAGACCCAGGCCTCGTCGGGCATGTGCCGCGAGGCGTGCCAGGCGCTGAGCAAGCCCGTCTTCGCCCTCAGCGAGGGCACGACGTGCTACTGCGGCGACTCGTACCCCCCCAAGGCGGACCTGACGGACGACTCGGCGTGCGACACTGCCTGCCTGGCCTACCCGCTCGAGGCGTGCGGGAACCTTGACGGGACGGCCTTCTCGGTCTGGAACACGGGTGACAAGATCAGCGTGCCGTTCAATGACGGCGGCGACGACGACGATTCTTCTTCGACGGCCTCGGGATCCAAGACGGCAACTTCGACTTCGGGTTCGGGCTCCAAGACTGCCGTTAGCACGAGCGTCATCACCGGCGCTGTCGAGTCTGCGACTGGGCTGGCCACGGCTGCGAGTGAGGGGACGGAGACGCCCTCGTCGACGGAGAGCGCTGCCGTTGCGACTTCTTCCATCCCCAGCTCTGGGTCCAAGTCGCTGATGGGTGCGGGTGTGGCCATCTTGGTTGCTGCTCTTGCTGTCTAAGTGGGAACATTTGGATATTTTCTCTTCTTCTTCTTCTTCATTTTTTTTCTCCACCATCATTAGGGTTCTTCATCATCAGGTAGAGCGGAATGAGTGTGTTCTTACACCTTGGTTGGCGCCCTTGGGATATAATGAGCCAGGTACATAATGCACTTACTAGAGGAAAGATTTCTTTCGAAAAATAGACCATCGTATATGCATGCGCTGAAAATAGTGTCTCCTCTCGTGAGTGTGGAGGAGCGTGAATTTCGCTCGTTCGCTCGCCGTCTGACTCACTGCACACCATCACTGGCCTTTCACGGCCGCCATCGCGTCTTGGCTTGGAATAAACTGGTTCAAGTGGACATACTCATGATACTCAGAGATATCCAACGACTGTGAATTCTGGGCACCGAAGACTCGAATCCACTGACGGCCGCCATCAGCTGCCGGCGTGTGTCATCTCATCCGATCACGTCGCGCTTCATCTCAGCCCGCCCTCACCCACTCACCCATTTTTCACCTCGACGCGGCACGACGCTGGACGCGTTTGTGCAGCGCTTCTCACCGACTTCTCACCCTCGGACGATAATTGCCTGCTCGAGGATAAGTAGGCCTACGCACGCCGTTACACCAGCGCGTAATCATCCCCCCCCTCGCCTCACTTCACTCATCTCATCGCTTCGCTTCTTCTCACCTTGACCAACTGCACCTCCTGCTATCGCAGGCTTATTTCCATTGCTCTGTATTCATTCGAATCTGTGCCTCCCTTCAGGAGAATAATTTGCTACTAAAGCGACAAACCGGCTGCTGTACAAACCTCACGCCTTTCCTCGCCGCCATGTCTGGCCCAGCCTCAACACCACCACCTCACGACGTCCTCGTCACAGGATCGTCCGGCCATCTCGGCACGGCTCTCATGCTGGCCTTGCCCTCGCTCGGCTTCAACCCCATCGGCATCGACATCCTCCCCTCGGAGACGACCACCCTCGTCGGCTCCATCTCGGACCGCGCCTTCGTCTCCTCCGTCGTCGCCTCCAACCCGTCCATCCAGCACATCGTCCACGCGGCCACGCTGCACAAGCCGCACGTCGGCAGCCACTCGCAGCAGCAGTTCATCGACACCAACGTCACCGGCACCCTCGTCCTCCTCGAGGCCGCCGCGACTCTCGCTAGAACGACCACCTTTAAGAGCTTCGTCTTCATCAGCACGACGAGCACCTTTGGCGCCGCCCTCAGCCCGGCCCCCGGCTCCCCCGCCGCCTGGATCACCGAGTCGGTCAGGCCCGAGCCCAAGAACATCTACGGCGCCACCAAGTGCGCCGCCGAGGACCTCTGCCACCTCGCGCACAAGCAGCAGGGCCTGCCCGTCGTGGTCCTGCGCACCTCGCGCTTCTTCCCCGAGGACGACGACGACGACGAGCGCCGCGCCAGCATGGCCGGGGACAACCTCAAGGTGCTGGAGCTGGCGTACCGCCGCGTCGACGTCGCGGACGTGGTGGAGGCGTGCCGCTGCGCCATGGAGAGGGGCAAGGAGAGGGGATGGGGGCGGTACATTATCAGCGCGCCGCCGCCGTTCGCCAACGACGAGGGGACGCTGAGGGGGCTGGACGAGTGCCCCCGGGGGGTGCTGGCGAGGCTGGTGCCCGGCGTGGAGGAGGTTTTCGCGGCCAGGGGGTGGGCGTTCCTCGGGCGGGTGGACAGGGTGTACGACTCGAGCAGGATGGTGGAGGAGATGGGGTGGCGGCCGAGGTACGACTTTGCCAGCACGGTGGAGAGGTTGAGGAGGGGGGAGGAGTGGAGGAGCGAGCTGAGCCTGAGGGTTGGGAGGAAGGGGTATCATGCTGTGACGACGGGCGTGTATACGAAGCGTTGAGGTGGCACTTTACTCTGGGGTGTCACGATGAGACGCGAGATATTTGTTTGTGGGACAGAACGACTGGAGGGGAGGTTTGCACAGGTCGAGTCTGGTTCACAAAGAGTGTACGAGTTGAGTAAAAATGGTGAAGGGATTCGGAGGAGAAGAAAACAATGGAGTGTGTGTTGTACGTCGTGTTAGCTTCACGAGAACGGTGTATTTGATAAGTTCATATGAAGGCCAACTCTCGGTAGAACAAGATCGACCACACTTGGAACAGCCTCATTAATATATCCGTGTGAAATTCGCATCATTTTATAAGATTAGTGACTCTGTATTCGACCATGTCAGTCTCAGTAGACATTTTACGCTAGTCCTGCCAGGAGGTTTCGTCCCGGACTTTTGTTATCTTCAGATATATCCTAGGTCATAACGGATAATTGCATGAATCAGCTGCTCCAACTCAGATGCTTTTGTGTAGGTATTGGATTGCAAACGATGCTCGTCTGCACGCCTAGGCCACTGTCAACTTCCATGTCTACGTGACCAATTTCCATGATGAATCATGCCGACATCAACTCCTGTCGTCTTGGGGCAGGCTGTCTCTGAGCAGATTCTCTCTCCCTTTGCAAACCTTGCCTCCTTCTCAGGATCATGCAGATGGAATACATGACGGCCGCGACCACCATGCTCGACCCCGACATGAGCTGCACCCCCAAGTAATCCCCACCCCTCACCTGAATGAGCACCCCGGCAACGGGAGGCCCCGTGAACGCCGCCACACCCGCAACGAAGAAGCCCATCCCCGTGATCGCCCCTGCCTTCCTGGTATCCTCGACGAACGAGCCGAGCACCATCGGGTAGACGGCCTGGATGCACGCGACCGCCGTGCCGAAGAAGACGGTGAACGCCCATAGGCCCCTCTCGCCCGACACGGCGGCCCAGCAGAACCCCAGCAGGGCGTTGAAAAGAGCAGCCGGCACCATGAGCACGACGGGCCCGTGCCGCGAGCCCAGCAGCGAGACGGCCACGCGGCCCACGACGCCGACGCCGTTCATCGTCAGCAGGAGGTAGAAGCCCGTGGACTGGGACGCGCCGACGACGGCCCGCGCGTAGCTGGCCAGGTAGTAGTAGCCGATGAAGACGGACCAGAAGAGGAAGAAGGCGCCGAGGAGGTGGAAGACGTGCGCCCGGTCGCGGAGGACGCTCCACTCGACGAGGGGGCCGGCCTTTCGGGGGACTGTGCAGGGCTTTACCAGGTAAGTGTCAGCGTTGTTCTCTTGTAATACATGTACGTTACGAAACAGAGGGATGATTGAAGAAAACACACCTTGAGGAACGGCGCGCAGATGAGCGTGATGGCCAGCTGGACGAAGCCCATCGTCCGGACCGTCCACGCGAAGCCGTGGCTGGGGAGCATCCGGGCGGCCATGGCGGAGAAGACCATGCCGCCGGTGGCGGACCCGATGGTCATGAGCCCGAGGGCGAGGGCCCGGTGCCTGTCAAAGTAGGTCCCGGCGAGGGCGACGGTGGGCGCGAAGACGGAGCCGAAGCCGGCGCCGACGCAGACGGCGTGGGAGAGGAAGATGTGCCAGTAGCGGGTGGAGAGGCTGAGCATGAACATGCCGAGGATGTACAGCAGGCTCCCGCAGGCGAAGACGGCGCGGTAGTGGCCGGCGTCGAGGGCCCGGCCGGCGACGATGCCGACGCCGAAGATGAGCAGGAGCTGCGTCGAGCCGATCCAGGCCACCTCAGAGTCGCCTCCTATGCGCAGCTCGTAGACGTAGTAGGTCTGGAAGGCGCCGAAGGCGTTGACGAAGCCCCAGGTGCTGAAGATGACGAGGTGGGCAAGGAGGGCGATGAGCCAGGAGTGGGCGGTGTCCTTGGCATCTGTCGTCACCTGCTTATCCTCGTTGAGGGACTGGACGGGGGCGAGTTCATGGTCGGCACATGTGGACTGGCTGGTCTGGTCTGAGGGCAGAGCCTCAGTATCTACAGAGTCATGAGCAGCCATCACCAGAAAGGCGTTTCCCCCACACACTGAGTCATTAGAAGGACTCAGTTTAGATCCGAGATGCCATCGGGTCCCCCTTCCCTTCCCTGAGGAGGACCGTTGGGCTTATAAACTATCCAGTATCAGTCATATTGGCCTGCAGACTGTCCAGCATGTTTGGGGTAGAAAACATTGATGATTGGGTTTGGGGTAGAAAAAACTGGGGAGAAAAAACCATCTGTGGATATTTGGCTGCCGGTCCCGCAGGTGGTGGGAATAGCCTCGAGACGGGACACTGGTCCATTAAGCGGCGTAACGTTGATCTTGGCCCCCCCTGAACTGTCCTGGAAAGATCTATCCGTGCGCACCGCAACTTCTTCAGCACGCGGCACAAATACTCATCACCCTCCGCAGCCTGTGGTCGATCCTTTTGGAGCTCGTCTGAAGAGTTGTGCATCCAAGACTGTGTCAGTGTCAGCAGAACTCTGTCTATGAGAAGCACACATCACGAGAACGCCATGACTCTCCCAGAGCAACATCGATCCAGGCCTTAGTTAAAGCCACTTGGAAGAAGTCTAGAGCAAATATTGAAAAAAAAATTATAAAGATAAAAAAAAACCAACATAATTTAGTGATTTAACTGTTTTATTTCAAGCTTGAACGACTCAATATCCACGCTTTGCCCAAGATAACAGTACGCTTGGTTATCAACACAAGCTCCTAGCCAACAAATCTCGGAAGGGGGTTTGTAATCGCATATTCACGTAGCCATGCCATAGCCTCGAGAATAATCACCTCGAGCCTAGCCCAAGCGCAAGGAAGATCCGAGTCTAAGCTGAGACATCATCAATCAACTAGAGCTGTGTTCTCCCCTGAGCAGGAAGGGAGGTAGATATTCGCGTCGAGAGGTGTAAGCCTCGTTATTGCTGGCCGTTGAGGGACTTGCTGGCAGTCTGCGCGGCTCTAGCGAAGGCGCGCCTCGAGGTCGGCATCACCAACCACAGTTCGGCCGTGAGCGACAAAGTCGTTGTATGCAGGGACGAGAGCGTCGGAACGCAGATCCAGGCCGTAGTAAAAGAGCACGTTGCCATTCTTGTTGAAACTGCCGTCCGCCTTCTCGAAGAACCAGGTCAGGTTCTCGTCCTCCTCGCTGACACTCCAGACGAGGGTAGGGTGATCCCTCTTGATCACGGTGAATACATTCTCCGCGATGTTGCTCAGCCAGCCAGTCTTGGTAATAGACAGGGTGATGAGCGTGGCCACAGCTCGATCCTCGCTCTTGGGCATGACGATGGCCAGGCACTGCATGGCATCGTCATAGTAGGCAGTGAACGGCTTCTCCTTGAGGAGGTCGATGAAACGGTCCACTGCGGCCTCTGCATCCAGAGTGGCCTTTCCACGAAGGAGCGCTTCCTTCAGCTTCCCGACATCGGGGAAGTCCGAGATCGACTTGGCTTGGGATAGACGGCTGCCTCGCCTGATCAGGGTGCCGCCACCGACGTCGGTGAACAGTTCCTTCTGGAGGTCGCTGGGATGGATAATCGCCACGCTCGAGGTGCGGGGCAGTGATAGTAATAGATTGCGAATCTCCTTGATCTTCAGTCGCGTCCCGTACCGTACCCAAGGCTGGGCCATAAGACCATCAAACTCTTCATCAAGGTTGATCTGTGAGATCTTCTCACCATCGCCGTCAAACAGTCCACCTTTCTCTGCCAGATACACCACTTTTAGGGGCTCCAAGGCCTGTGCGAGGGCCGAAGCACTAGTAGAGTACGGAGTCAGCCAATCTATCGTCACGCTTCAAACGTTGGAGATGCAGGGCAGGGAATGAATACTCACGCAACATCGGCGTTGACGTTGAGGAGGTGCCCGTCCTCGCTCTCAGCCATCGAGGTGAGGATAGGGATGTAGCCTGCCTCGATAGACTTCTCAATGGCATCCTTGTTCACTCTGGTGATCTTGCCAACATACTTCCACTTGTCCTTGTCGAGATAGTCGGCAACAAAGGCGCCGCTGATGGTACGGGTAGCAACGCCGAGCTCGTCGAGGCGGTTGGTGAATCGCAGGTTCTCCTCGAGGAAGAGCTTGCGGGCAATGCCCAGGGTCTTGGCATCGGTCACCCGGATGCCCTCCTCGAACTGCGGCTCAACGCCAGCATCCTCAAGCAGCTTGTTCAGCTGGGGGCCTGCACCGTGGACCACCACCGGGTATAGGCCAAGCTCGTAGAGGAAGAGGAGACTGCGGCACAGGTCGTCGAGGAACTCGGGCTCGAGGATGGCGCCGCCGACCTTGATGACGGCGAACTTCTGGGACTCGACCGAGGTGAAGAGCTTGAGCCACTGCTGGCTCTCGCGCTTGCTGCCGATGCTGCTGACGGTTTGCGTGATGATCTCGCGGAGGCGGTCGCGGTTGGGCAGAGAAGCCGACAGGACTCGGGCGGACGTCGAGAAGGCCTTGGTGGTGGTGGTGGTGGTCGCCGTGATCGGAGCAACGGCACGCGAGACAGCCCTGGGAGCGACTCGTCGGGCGCCGGCCCGGATGGCCGCAGACAGCATCTCTACGAGGCCAAGTGGCTTGGTGACGGGCGGGGAGGGTCGGATTGGCAATTGAGGATTGGGAGGCAATTGAGAGGTGTATGTGAGGATTGAAGGCGTGGTGGGCCGCAAAAGAGCTCGTCTCTGGAGGGGGAGGCGGGAGAGGAAGAAATCACAAGCTGCCGTGGAAAAGCCGCAAGCCTAAATGCAGGTAACCCTTGATTTAGCTAGACCAGTAAAAAGCACAGTTAAAACACAGGAAAAATACATTAAAAACACAGCGACTCCTTTGGAGAACATATATATTCTTAAGATAAATATTGTAATTTATATAACAAAAAGCTTTGAATAAAATCTCTAGATAAATTACAATCAGACAGTTGTAGATAAGCAAAAGTTGGAGAGCTGTATTTTAGTAGTGTCACATGCGTCACAGGTGGGGTCAAAGCCTTTCTGGGCTCAACTAACACCTACCGGGTAGTCATTGTTCCTCCGCGTAAATTTTAATGTCCAAGGTCGATGGAGACGTCCCCATAGAAGAAGTCGACCTTGCGCTGATGATCCCGATAAATGGACGCTCTAAGAGCTCCTGTAAGCTTTGCGAAGCTGACGCAGATGGCAACCATATATGCATAAGATGCTATAGATCAACGCGTGGCTCTACGAGCTTGGTCGCGTGTCATTGGGGGTAGTCGAAAATTGCTACCGGCACCTCATTAAGCATTTCGAAGAATTTCTCAAAGAAGATACAGAAAGAGATAGGTGATAATCCTTGCTACAGTTTCCGAGGGCCGCTAGTTCTCTGCTTGGCAAATCTTGGATGAACCGGACTATCCTAGAGAAGGCCTCGGCTGTTGTCGGGTTTGAAAGCGTGGAGGCTAAGATGCGCAAATAGGCAGAGGATTGAAGTATTTACCTAATTCCTATTGAACCTATTTCCCATTTTCTGGGAGCTCTTGAGCAACATAAGTGGAGCTCGAGTAGTTGAAATATCAAAAAAAGAGAGACCACACCATAATCATCAACACGATGTATAGCCTTGCTTTGTATTACTTGGTACCGAAGCGCCTCGAAGATGCACGAACTTGGTTTCGGGACACAGTGAATCAAAGGAAAGAAAAACTCGGGGAATACCATTCTGTCACATTAGACCATACCTCTAACCTTGCTATAGTCTTCTCCGAGCTCGGTTAATTCGAAGACTCAAATCCCCTGCTGGTGTAAGTCATGGATGTGGAAGAAAAAGAAAGAGGAGTCAGTAACTTGATAGATGGTAGTTTCTCCTGGTTGAGACTCTCTCTCAAACTCCAACGCTCTTTTACATTTATAAATGGGAAACTTTCTTAGACCTTTAGTTTCATGAAATTCAAACTGAAGTCCTATTCTACTCACAGCAGGGCGGGGGTTTATCTGGACTCATAGCTCGTCTAACTCAAGCTACCCTACACCTGAAGTCCATGGTCTAACTTGATTTTCAGTCTCCCAAGCTGCCAAGGTCTAAAAATGACATGCTATCCAGTGATCCACATACGGCCTGGGCAGAGTAAGCTTAAAATTCTTATTGCTCTACCCCTGATTCTCTACACCGTAATCGTCACTTTTGGCTGGTCCGAACGAACGGTATTCTGTGCGAAGGGATAGAACTTAGGGAAATCTTTATTTTTCTAGGGCAAGAACCATGAAGCAAGCCCAACGACCTTGTTTTATATCCCCTGTTGATGGTCGAAAGCGGATCCAAAATCAATGCGAACCAAGTGTACAGTAAACAATGCACAAAACCAACACCCCTCATTTGCGTCCAGTGGCCATTTACATAAATAAATCCTCGTAACAGTAAAACTCAAGTAGGAATTCGTCTCAATCAGCACGAAAGGCGGCGGAAGCCCGTGGCCCGCACGCTCAAGGGACATAGTTGGTCCCGTCGTCCTCGTCCATGAGCCTCCTCCGCTCCTCGAGCTCGTTGTTGTTCGAGTAGGGCGGAGGGTCGACGCCCGGCCGCTGCTTGGGGCTGGGGCCCAGGCCCTGGCACTGGCAGTTGCCGTTGCAGGGCTTGGCTTTCGCCTTGTCCTGTTCGTCCTGGCTGTGCGTGGCGTGGTGCTCGAGGTAGAACCGGGCGAACTTGAAGACGTTGATGATGAGGACGATGAGGACGATGGAGCCGAAGATGATGGCTAGGATGGGCACGGCCTGGCCTTGTGCGTGCTGGCCGTGTGCCGCGTGAGGTGGAGGCGGCGGTGGTGGCCCGTGGGGATGATGTCCGTGGCCATGGCCGTGACCATGGGGAGGTGGAGGGGGGCCGAATGGCGCTGGTCCGTGGCCCATGCTGGCAGATTGGTTTTTTTGGTATATGGCAATGAAGAGAGCCGGCTCTGAACTTTTGGATTGAGACGGGTATCGAGCGTTGGGGGGTCTAGGCGCCAAGAGTGAATCAAGATGATCGGACTGAACTGTCGGCAGTGTTGCAGGATCCAGGGGCATTTGTAGACGAGGTAGGATGGAGATTACGCAAGCTATGTCGTCCCATGAAGAGCACTGACACCTGCTCCTTGGGGCTGTGCAGTTCGGCTTCAGCGTCGCATGGATGTAACACGGAGGTTATCAATCAAATCGACGTGCATGAAGGCGCGATGCGTGCTGATAACACCGGAGATGCAGCACGCGGGACGCACAAGATGAGGAAGGTTGAGATTATATTTTAACATTCTCAGGCTCGAGATTATCAATCTCAGAACAGCCTCTCCCTGCACAATCGAGGGTATTTCGATCGTCGCCCGGCCCTGGCCATGAATCGCGGAGTGGATGATGCCGCGTGGCCTCTGCCGTTTTTGCCGCGCCTGTTGCTACCCACTCCGTCTCTGGTCCCGTCAAATACGGGAACGGAAGGTAAACCAGGGAAAACGGTTGCTTTGACTGGCGTGTCAGGGGATGTGTCGATTATTACTTAGATAGATCATTCATGCCAGTCTCCCTCGCACAGCGCAAGGCAAGACTGGCTCACTCTTCAACGTATATGACTTTCAAACTTGAAAAAGCCTAGGTCGATCTAAACAGCTGCGAGGAAGCATTCTCATTCTTCCATGTACATGCACAGTCTACCCGCCAATGGTGGAATCGCATCTCCATCGCCCTGCCGGCCCCTGCCTCCGACGTCATCCGTTACATCGCCGTCTCCGCGCTTGTATTATTGAAGTAAAGACCGCATAGCCTATCTACATGACGTCCGTGAAACGTCTGAGCTGGCAGGGGCCGGCACCTCAGCAGTCGACACCGTCAGCTCCACCTGTTTCGTGATGCCGCCCCGTTTGCCGCCCGGCAGGATGTTCTCCTCCGAGCTGGCGGTGCCCCCCGTGTGCACGAACACGTCGTTCCGCGACGCCCTGGAGCCGCTGTACACGGCCGCCGACCTGTTCCTCTGGCCCCCCCTCCAGCTGGTGTCGCTGGTGTCGCCCAGCATGATGCTGCCGGGCTCCGGGTGCGTCCTCCGGCTCGTCTTGGTGGCGCGGTCCTTGTTGGACGAGAGCAGCGAGCCCAGGATGGGCCGCAGCATCTGCCGGACCCAGCCCCAGGTCATGGGCAGGCTGGTGGTGATGATGGCGACGAATGACTCGCGCATCCCCCATGCGGCGCCTTCTTTGGGGCCCGTAGCCTCGCTCTTTTGGAAGCGCACACTTTTGTTAATAATGACCCAGTAGGCGGTCGAAAGGAGGGAATAGAAAAAGAGATGCAAACCTTGAGAATGGAAGTGCAGCGAAGAATTCCGAATACCATGATGAGTATGCCACCGGAGAACAGGACAATCAGCCCGATCCTCTTTACTTTGGGGAGCTGCGCCGCCCACAGCATCGGAATAGGGATCATGAACAGATAGAGATCAGTCACGAAGTTGAGCGTCATGGAGATGTAAATGTTGACCTTGTTCGCAGCAGGGAGACAGACATCTAACACACACTTGGCGTTAGCAGACGGGCTGAAACAACCGGCGATGGATCCGACAGCACGCACTCCCCGGGTTTGGGTAGATCTGCCACAGCTTTTCGAAAGGCTGGCAGCTGAAGAGGATCGAGCACATGCAGGCAATGTACGAAGCGATGATGCCGCCGAAGCCTATGTAGATGCGGATTCTATAACCAGTAAGCCCGGCCTGTGAGGGAGTTTAGCAAAGGCGTCAAGCGAGCCACGATCCGACAGCACGCACCGTGAGACGCATGTAAAAGGCACACATCGATGCTTTGATCATCCAGATCAATGTCGTGTAGATAGCCCACCCGGCAATCTGGACCTTTGAGCCGCCAACCCTGTCGTAGGCAGACCGTGTTAGCCAACCCATTTTACCCAAGGAAAACCGGCATATCGCCACACAACCACAACTCACCTCCAACGCCATTCGTCGCTATCCGGCGAGAGCGCGGCTCTCTCATCGTCCGCCATGTTGCTATTGCTCAGCCCCCTGAACTGGGCTCCGACATTGTAGGCGAGGATCGTCTCGGTGAGCAGCGGGACGAGGCAGGCCAGCATCAGGTAATCGTCCGGGCCCAGCCCGACCCAACCCGTCTGCTTCACCCGGCAGAACGTTCGGAACAGGACGACGACGACGCAGATGGCGAGGTAGGAGAAGGCCTCGATGATGAACGGATCCGTCGCCATGCTTTTCTCAGTCCGCGCCCCCCTCGAAGGGTGCTGTGTCTCGCGAACGAGGGTCGTATATGCACGATGGATACGGGGAGAAGCGAGGAAGAGCTGGGGAAAAAGAAAGCAGAAGCTGAGGGTTACATGCGATCTCCCGTCCGGGACGAACTGGTGGGCTTTCCGGGCTACATATGATCGGCCCCGGATGCGTTCATGCAGCCTCCCCCTGGCCTCGTGTATGGCTAGTGCAGATAGCCAACCTGGCTGAAAGCCACGATCCTTAGCTAGCGTTTTGTCCGTGTGGTAGTTTGATGCAAGATAGTATCTATTATCACCGAAGTTCCCAAGCAAGAAATCACACGGCTCCGTCGGCACAATTGAGGAATCCCGCCGAGGAGAGCATCAACCCAAGGGATCCTAAAGTCAGCAGCACACTCCCATAGGCGCTACATCTCATCTAGAAAAAAGAAACGAGTAGAATGAAGGTACCGCTGAGCCTGTTCCAAGAACGCAGCGCATTAACAAGCTGTGCTAGCCGCCAGCCACGTCACGATAGTCGTGCTAGGCGGTCTCTGGGCACCAGCAATGGCCCCACAGACGAGCACCGCCAGCTTGGATATTTGAAGCTCGGAGCATGCCTAAGAGGGCCAAGCAAAGCCGGGGGAGGGGGACGGTTGGGATACGATACCGCGGGTAGGCCGGCTCACGCGTCCTAGCGTGATGATCACCAGCCGTTTTGACCCCCTGAGTTTGCGTATCTGCCCCTCAGTCAAGTAAAAAAGAAAAGATTTTTTTCCTTTTCCCTTTCTCCCGGTCTCGGGAATATTATCTAATTATCTGGTGAAGAATGTTTCGTGATCCTCTCACACGTGGGCGGCACCCCTGCTCACAGGAATCCATCCATCCCCCTGGCTCGAAGCGCTGATCAATGTCACTAACCGCGGGATGATCTTGTTTATTCATAAGAAAGATCCTCCATAGAGAGGAACGCCTATTGTGTCTGTGATCCCCATCTCCCTCGTAGCATTCACTTATTCCCACATGTGGCAGCGACACCCGGAGCCATGATCCCCAAACTATCAGCTCCTAATTTCTCCGTTCCCCATCACAGCCGCGATGGAAATGCGCGTGTTTGCAAAACGGCACACACAGCGAGACCACCTGGCTTTCATTCGCCCCAGCCGCAGACCCAGGACAAGGGGCAAATGGTCAACCGGGCTGATCCTCGTCTAGCTAGATTGGCTTCGCGGCCGCCATCATCGCGAACGGGCGCCCTGCGACGCTAAAGGGCTGCTTAGCCTGCAGCTTGCGAGCAAGAAACCTGCAGACGAATGACTCGGATAGTCTGTTTTGAAATTGGTGCTCGCGGCCGGGTCGTTCCCAAAGTGGGAAGTGCCGTGGCTCTGCTCTATTCCACCGTCTTTGTTCGCCAGTCACATCCTACAGCATATAAAGTCCAGCCGTTTGTCTGCCGTGGCTTGATATTCGCCAGTCGCCACCAGTCTGTCCTGCATGCTCCTGGACTTTGGGATGGGATTATGAGCAGGAAAAAGTACAAACACGTCATTGAGGCACGGCTACATTCGTTATATGTAGATTTTCACCTAAGCACGACGACGGATGATGAGATGGGCACCACGAGTGTAGATCGATCAAGAAAAGTGAATTGTACAGTGATTGATGATGACAAACCGTTGCGCCCGCCCCTTATGCTGACCACCCAGGTTTTTTTCCTACAAAAGTTACAAGACAAAATAGGCAACATAAGAACCCGAAGAAAAAAAAAAAAGTCTAAAGAGCGAGGGCTGCTATTATTAAATGTATGTAATGATGATGGCCTCCGCCCCCTTCGAGGACGGCGGCCCCCCCTCCCCTTATCTTTCCTTGTCCTCTCCCCCCCTTTCGTATGCGTATGCGTGTGTTTTGTGTGTGCGTGTTATTAATTATATCACTTTTCTCGGCTGACCAGCAACCTCTCTATTTTCTTTCCGAGCAACGTGCTCCAGACATCGACCTTCCTGTGCCACCAGTTGGCGGCATACAGGGTGATGGTGAGCATGAAGCTCCAGCCGATGACGTAGCCGACAGCCCTGCCAAAGGTCTCGAACAGCCTCGGCATGATCCAGAATCCCAGGCAGTGCAGGATCGGACCGTGGACGAGGTACAGGGAAAAGCTGACCTTCCCGAGGTATTGCGGTACGCGGCTCTCCAGGATCCTACACAGGACGGGGCTGCGGATGACGCAGGGGAGGAGCATGAGGGCTCCCATGGAGTGGTAGAACATCCAGCCAGACAGGGGGATGTAATATCTGGGGACCATGGAGGAGAGGAAGATGTAGCCGGGTGTCCATTCGGCACCGGCGTCGGGGTAGGAGAGTAGGTAGAGCGCGAGGAAGAAGAAGGACCAGCGGATGATGTGTGTCCGCCGGCTGGGCTTCTGGAAGCGTTCCGCGCTGGAGTTGCCGACCAGCGGGAGGAGATCCTCGTCATCTAACTGGGGGTTGTCACCGTACGACATGAGCCGGATGTCAATCTCGGAGAGCATCGTGCCTCCGATGAAAGCACCCATATCCCACCGACCCAGGATGATGCTGTAGATGGAGAGAATGGCGGCGAAGAAGAGCCGCCACTTGGCCTGGATGTTGGCAGTGCCAAGTAGGAAGATGTAGATGAACATGGACCCGCGCAGCTCCATGGGGATGGTGAAGGTGTGGGGGTCGTAGCGGGGGTGATAGTGACCGTAGTTGAACGGGTTGACCCATTCGATGTACATTCTGGTGTAGTTAGTGAAGGCGTAGTTGAGACTCTCGTACATGATGGGATGCTCCTCCCAGGTCCCGCCAAGCTGCACCCAGAGGAATTCCTCGCGCTTCGGGGGTGGCTTCTTCTCGATGACGGGGAGGGGCAATACAGTGGTGTTGGTGAAGTTCGTTAGAGTGAAGTTGCCCATTCCCGTCAAATTGAGGAGAGCGAACGGAGTCCCGGGCCCGTGTGTGGGCAGCTTGGGAAATTTGGTAGTCTTGGGGTCAGCCGGGTTAGCCTCATCCTTGGCGTCCTCTTCGTCCTCCTCGTCCTCGTCCTCGTCCTCATCCTTGTCAGCCTTGTCCTTATCAGCCTTGTCCTTGTCAGCCTTGTCCTTGCCAGCCTTCTCTATATCCCCCGTCTTCTCCGGCGCCAGTTGGTGAATGGTCTGGTGGAGCGTCGTGTCTGGGCCCGCGGGGGCAACTGATGATGGCGACCCTTCCAACTCCTTGGTCTTCTCCGGGACATCTGTTGTGTCCGACTTGTCTGACGTCTCTGACTCGGATGGCTTATCCGAAGACTCAGGCTTGTCTGGTAACTCTGGCTTCTCCTCCTTCTCCTCCTCCGGTTCATGCTGATGCACTGGCGTCTCCGGCTTGACTGGTTCCGGGGGGATAAAGTCACGGGCCACAGGTTTGCTGTCCAGTTCCAAGCCGTCATCCTCAAACGCCGGAACCAAGGTAGTCTCGCCGCGGGGCAGACGAAGCAGACGAACTGGGCGAGGAGGGGCCGGGTCTCGGTCCGGTCCATACGTCATGTTGTACAGAGTACCGTTGATGACGATGGTGGTGTTCTTCTCCGGGATCTTGGGCTTCTCCACCTCCTCCTGGGGGATGCCATAGAGCGACGCAGGGCTAAATAAAACGGAAGACGAATTGAGACAGAGGACCTGAGGCCAGTCGGTCTTGTTGTGGAGCGTCTTCCAGTCATACAGGGTGAAGTAATCCGCCAGCTCGGACGTGCCGTTGACGGGGACCGTGTCGTTGGTGTTGCAGGTCCCGTTGATCTTCCTGAAATTAACAGTCACGGTGCCGTTGATGTAGGCCGAGTCACGCCCCTGGTAGATGGAGACCTCGGACCGGAAAATGCCCAGCTGGGCGAGGACGGCGACAGCCAGCATGCTCAGGGTGGGGGGGAGCAGCAGACGGAATGGACGCCTCAGGACGGAGGAGGCGAGGCCCTGGTAGACGGCCTGGTACCGCTTCTCATGGATGGCCCTCAAGATGTGGCGGCAGAGGACATAGCCGGAGATGGCAAAGAAGATGGCGACCATGGGATGGCCGCGGTGCAGCAGGCAGATGATGGGCAGCGTGGACCAGTCGTAGTAGGGCTCAGGCGCACGGGGCGGATTGGCGCCGTAGCCCAGCATGATGGAAGGGGTCCATGGCCAGAGGAAGTGGTAATTGAAGACGATCAGACAGGCGATGCCTCGCAGGCCGTCGAGACTCTTGATCTTGTCTCTGGCGTTCCGGGCTGGGGCGGTCAGGCTGGTGGGCGTGATCTTCTCACGGTCACGGTAGGGGGGCGACCGGGCATCATTGGCACTGCCATTGCCGTTGCGGAAAAAGTCCAGAGAGAGCCTCAGTCGCGGCTCGGATGCGTGCCTCCCATGCGCCCCTCCGCGGGCCGCCTTGTCGCCAGGGACGGCGAGCATGATGGGAGCAGCGACTCAATCAGTGGTGCGAGATGGACTGTCCTGCTGTGCTATAGCGGGCAGCGGCTGCGACGACACATGGAGACAGACGAGGCAGCGGCCAGGGAGAGTCGTCGGGGCTGGTCTGGGGCTGCTGGGCAAAAGGGTGAAATGGAGACTAAGTGTGTCGATTCGAGGATTGGATTGTGATTATGTCAGTACCTAGGTAGGCCCAGCAGCATTCAACGAGTGGGCAGCGGATGGGATTAGGGGGGATTGATTTCTCCTTTGCGATGCGCGTGACTTTGGGTGTGCCACATTGCCCTTCAGTGGGTTCAATTGGTCTGGCTTGGATTAGATTAGGTGGTTTTTTTTTCTCCTTCTCTCTCTTATGGTCTGGTGGCCTGAAACCTGCGTTCCCCTGGCAGGAGGCATTGCAGCACCATCTACCAGCGTGGGCGGCGGTGGCGCAGCGCCTGATGGGTGCCAGGGGAGAGGCTGCAGCGTGCCAGTTGCCAGCTATCTTAGTACCTACCTTACAGGCACAGGAGAGCACAGCAGAGGGCTTCGGCAGTCTACGGGC